GCAGCTTAGAGGGAACATTGGACAGGACTATGATTTAAACAAGTGTGTCATGTCTGACGTCACTTTCTTTTCTTTTAACCAATTTGTGGTTGATCTAACATTCGGTCCTCATTTTTAACCTGCAAAACAGAAAATGTATGTGAACATCTTTACCTGGAGGGAGCAGACTGCAAAGATGGCTGTCCTAATACAGATATTATGGAAAAAATATCATGTCCACCTGCCCTGCTATCTCTACAATGAGTAGGCTTTACTGTCAGCCACACAGATATATGACACTGCCTTAAACACTCAGCTCTGGGCCTTAAGCTGTAGTTATCCCATAAGCGAAGGCTCAGAGGTCTAACGTTTCACCAAAGGGATGACTGACATTTTAGAGAGGAGATTGCAGACGGTAGCGAAGGTTTAACACTAACAGGACTATGACTGCACCTTTAACTCACCAGCTGGTAAACAGTGCAAGCAGGGATGAGTCATTTATTAATGGGATGCAGTTAATGATTTGTTCACTGAGGTCAGTGGTTTTAAAACTTGGAAGAAAAGGAATCAGGAAGAATGTTGGACCTGAACATGGAAACTCATCCACCTCCCAGAGAACGGCTTCTCTTCTTTATTGTGACCATGTGCAATTTCAAAACCTTTGGATTTTGTTTTCTATAGCACCAATTTGAAAAATGTTGGGACGCTGTGTAAAAAGTGAACAAGAACAGAATGCTATGATCTGCAAATCTCATAAATCCACATTTTAATTTGAACACAAACACCATGTCAAATGTTTAACATGAGAGCTTGAGTATTTCAAGAAAAACAGAAAAAATGTTTTAAACAAGTTGGAACTGGGTCAACAAAAATAAGTAGTACTAAAAAGAATCATTCAGAGTAACACATAATTAGGTTAACTGGGGCATTCATTGAGTATTAAATCAGCATCTTTGAAGTAAAGATGGACCGAGGTTCACCAACCTTCAAAAATCTGCATCTACAAATTGTGGAAAAACTTCATGAAAAAATCAGAGAAAATGGAGAAATCTCTGTGCGCAAGGGGACAAGGCTCAAAGTCAATATTGGATACTGGTGATCTTCAGGTCCTTGGGCAGCACTGCATTAAAAACAGGCTGGATTCTCTCATAGAAATCACTGCACTGAGTCATCCATAAATGCAGGTTAAAGCACTATCACGCACAGAAGAAGTCATGCATGGCACGTCCTCCAGACTAACGAGGAGAGGGACCATCCAGCTTGTGATCAGCACTCAGGTCAAAGGCCTGCATTTCTAATGGTATGGGGGTGTATTAGCGTCTGTGGAAGTGACAGATTGTACATCTACAAAGGCATCATCAATGCTGAAAGGTATATACAGGTATTAGAGCGACGTGCTCCCATCCTGACAACGTCTTTTTCAGGGAAGGTCTTGGATATTTCAGGAAGACAAAGCTAGAGCGCTTTCTGCATCTACTACTCTCTCAAAAGTCCAGCAGCTGGTCTCATCAGTTCCCAGATGTTTACAGACTATTGTTAAAAGAAAAGGCTACACAGTGGTAAACATGACCCCGTCCCAACATTTCTCAGATATACTGTTGCCATCAAGACCTTATTTTATCAGTTTAAACATTTGACTTGATTTCTATGTTCTACTGTAAATAAAATATAGACTTTAATTTATTTATCCCGACTACATGTAGTACTTAGAATATGAACATTTCCAAAAGAAGAGCACAGTGACAAATTAAATGAAAGTTCCTAATTTGTGTGCAGACACAAGTAATAGGACAGCCGTGCCCACTGACTTTTGTTAATGAACTCTTCTTATGACGAATGCCACTCAGTTGCCATATTTGTCACCCTTTGTTTGTTCTGGTAATTATGTTTTCATTTCTTGTCCCTCCTGCCATATTTGTGCACCCACTCAACCTCCTCCACAGTCTGTCTCTTTTCGTCTCTCCCTCCCAACCTTTTTTAATCATATTAGTTATCAATAATTAATCTGCAGCAGCTTGCCCACCCGGCTTGTTTAGCAACGTCTGTCATCCTGTTAAGTTAATGCGGGACTGAATTAGAGTAGCAAGATGGGGTTGGGGGGATCCTCCATGTATTACAGCATCTGGACCACGCAAGTGAGTTGTCAGGAACTATAATGACCAACACCACATTATCCTTTCCCTCAACCTCTCCTCAGAGTCCAGGCAGGCAGCACCGAGGCTTAGCCATCTTTATTTCTTATCAGCTGGGCAAAGCAAGAAAGGAACAGAGACAAATATCTCATTATGTGGATGAGGGTAACTCAGTAGAAAATTAATCACTAGCCGTAATGTTAATATGTGCATAGTAAGCTGAAAAATGTATAGGAACATGCTGCTGCGAGGGAAAGAAACAAATTCAGAATGATTGGTCTTTTATACGTTTGCTACTCCTGTAAACGGATAACAAATGTATAAAAATGATTCTGTTCTCATTTTATTTAATGGGACTGTGTCTTTGAGGGTGTAAGCATGAGAACAAGCCCCATACAGAGTGCAACATCCTGTACTGTATATGCATGCTGTTCATACGAGCCTTTATCTAGCTTTTGAAGTTCAAACTATATGCAACACATACATCACCTTTGTATTTCAGAATGCATTTTCAACAACACTTCGTCATTGCCAAAATCACGCGTTCGGCGTCTACCTGTTAAACCCTGGGACAAATGAGAAGCAGACTAATTACTTCGCGTCTTCGCGTTAGACCTAACTGCATGGATTAATTTTATTATGTAAAACATTTGCAAAAAAAATTGCACGCCAAGTAACTGCATACTAAATAGAAGGTTGGATATTTATAAATGAGATGTGAGACTCATGCTTTTGTTTGCTCCTGGCACAGGGCTGTATCAGTTTTGATGCGTTTATGTGCAACAAACACAGACGAGCACATGGCCATGTACATGTTTCATTTGCCCCTGATGAAACCTGCGTTGCTATGGAAACTCTTTTAACAGGAACTTCTCCTTATGCTTTCACCTCAAAATTGATCCTTGAGTTCAAAGTTTTCCTTTATTTGTGCACTTAACCCATCAGGTCTGAGTATACTTCAGGATTTTGATCTAAGACTGGGCTAAATCAGACACCTGTACCTATCCTCTTTACAGAGTTTCTTAAGGACCCTCGACTATGTGATGATTTTAACCATGACGGGACAACACCGTCAAGGTGAAAGGAACGCTTTCATCTCCACACAGCCCCATGAAAAGCTAAATACACTCTTACTGCTTACATAGAAATTAAGAGGGTAAGTAGCAGCCAAGTGCTGCTAATCAGATTCAACTGATTAAATGGTCATTAGCAAGTATGGGCACCTTCGTTTCAAGCAGAAGTTTTGCTCTGGTCTGAACTAGTTCAGACTCTGAAATGATCAAAGAAACTGCAAAAATAAGAACTGCAAAAAAACCAAAGAAAACCCCCCAAAAAACAAGACCTACATTTCTTGAAAGGGTTGCCAGGAGACAGTCTATCCTTTTTAAAATAAAGTATTGATAATTCATCAAACACAGCATCAAACACCTTAAACCTACTGTGAAGCATGGTGGAGGACGGGTATTGATTTGGGCTTGTTTTGTAGCCACAGGACCCGGGCCCCATGCGGGCATTTCAGTGCCATGAACACCTCTTTATACCAAAGTATGCTAGAGTCAAATGTTAGGCCATCTGTCTGACAGCTGAAGCCAAAACTATTTCATGCAAAAACACAATGACCCCAACTATAGCAGCAATACCAGCCTCAACCTGACTGAAACACTGTGGCACAATATTGCACTGTTTGCATACTTCAATGAAGAAGAGTGGGTAAAAATTTATTCACAACTATGTAAGAAACTGAGAAAGTCTTGCAAAGTTATCGTTGCTAAAGGTGGTTCTACAAGCTTATGATCAAGATGTACTTAATGTTTTACAGGACTGCATAAAAGCCTTCTTTTTCAAATATCTGTGTGTGATATGTATGTATGTACGAGCAATTTAGAAGCCAGTTTGTGTATTTGTCTGACTTCGCATTTGTGTGCATGACTACATGTGTTGACACAGACGGGAATATCAAATTCAGAGATAGGTGCAGTTATCATACCGTTAATCTTGTCCATTTCAGCCAAGGTCTCTTGGTAGGAGCTGATTATTCCTGCATATCGTGTCATCACCTCCTTCCGTAAGTTGTCCCAGTGAGGGGAAAGATCTCCCAGCTCCTTTAGATCCTGCACCCTACAAATAAACACAGATCTGTGAGGACCATTGAGGTATTATTGTAGTGCTTTAGCTAGTGTTGTGCCATTTTTATAGTTTTTATACTTCTTTCAAATGAACTTAATCTTTTAGTTCAGGTTCAAAAAACTATTAGCAAACCTCTTAAAACACAGACAGAAGTTAAAACATACTGAAACATGCACACACCCTGAGCCAGATAAACACAACTTTAAACCCCAGGCTAAAATATCTGGTGTCCGCTTATCCACTTTGGCCTTTCAAATTCCTCCCCTCACTACTCTTTCTTCTGCGATTACTAACTCTTCTGCTGTCTGTGTATACTGAAATAAGCAGGTGTCTTTCAGTTAGTTGCGCCTGCAGCTTTATGCCATAATAATTTGTGGTCTTTCTTTTGGAAATAATTGCCAGTGTGCATCAGTCTGTGCACATTTGTGTCTTGTTTGTGTGTGGAGCAGCTGATTTCCAGCTAGGATGCATAATCTCTTTCTTTGGCAAATAATTTGAATATGAAAGGGAATATCAGATAGACACAGATAATCTACACACTGTCCCTGTGGCAGCCAACCAAGTAAATGCCAGAGATATTATAGAAATTAGAGGTTAAAGGAGGCTTTATACGCTCCTCTGATCACATATTACAAATGTAAATCAGCTATTTTTAGATACCAGAATTAGAATTTAGGATTTTACACAGCAAATGATTTGACCAAACCAACAAGACAAGGAACTGATTCCCCTCAAAACAGAAAAAAAACAACCATGCTTTCATCCATCAGTTAGTTTTATCTTCTTATCTTTGAAGGCGCTGCAGGAAACCTGGAGCCTATGTTAGGTGACATTCGGAGAGAGGTAGGGTACATCCTGAACAGGTTGGCAGTCAAACAGTGCACCGCATTGTTTATCAGCTGATTAGAAATAAGAAACAGTTTCTTCTGAAATGCCACAGCAAGTGTGAGGTCATTCAGTAACCGTGTCAAAAACAAGAAATTAAATCACAATCATGGGCTTATGCTTATGAAGGTGAGGAAAGAATATAATTCAATAGTTTTAAGCATTCATCTCAATTTATATCCACATACATGTAGGCTGTGGTCACATATCAAAGATTTTCTTGATCCTTTTCGTAATCCTAGTTTTAATCAAACTTGGACCTTGAAACCAACTGGAAGCCACAATATGCCCATATTGTGGTTAAATTGTAAGTTCTGCTTATGATGTATAAAGATAGAATTGATGGAAGTAAGCATATTTCAGTAGAATGCAAGAGTACCACTTGTTTGTCAGACCAAATAAAAGTAATTACATCTAAGTCTTTGCCAGAATAGACACTGAGATGAGTAACTAATGGGTCACTCCATACTAAATCAGTCAACTCTGAGTAAAATTCTCACCTGACAAGATACCCTACATTAAACATTATCCCCAACTATCTCAGGGCCACAAGTGTTTCACCCCTTATACCTGTACACTGTGCTCCAGTAGGGCAGTGCTACTGCAAAGACTAAATTAGTCTTCACGTGCTCTTGTCAACCACAGCTATTTTCAGCTGCCCTGGCTATCTTCCCAGTGGCTTTCTCCAGCTGTTTGGGTTACATCCTCATGGGAAATTGTGGAAAGCCACCTAAATAGGGAATAAGGCTGCTTGTCATTCTTTGACAAGAGCCTCATCGATCAAATGCTGGTATTCTTCAGTTGGTGAGAGACTGCTGACCTCTTTGTCCAAAAGGATGATAGTGGGCAATCTTAACTACTCCTGATGGTACTTGGCGGCCTGTTGGATCAGCGGGTCAGTGTTATTTGGTTAGATAAAAAGTAGGTGTGAACCTGATAGTTAAAGCTATAAAACTGGATGAGTCCTCCAAACATCCAGGATATCCTGGGACACTTTCTGTTTGGATACAACATACACATTGGTGAGTAGATTATATGTTAATCTGTGAATAGTAATAGACCATAACATATTTAAACTTCTAACAGGAGCATCTCTCAAAACTCTTCAGTGGCACTGGGCAGTATTAATAGATCTTGAAAGTGGGGTCTCATGGTCTTAAAGTGGATCCTTCTTGAGATTTTCCAACTATTTCTGTTACTTTAGTCGATGGCAAAGTCTGTCATGTTAAAAGGGATGTGCATCTTAAGTGTTGGCAGCAGGAAAAAACAGTTTCCTGCTGGGTCATCGTGTCCCACTTCCACACTGTCCTTAACTTCTACCCAAGAACATATCAGGTTCCTGCTCTTGGGCTTTCCAATAGGAGTGATTTGTAAAGTGGTTAAGGTTAAAAAAATGTTTTCTCTCTTGACATTTCTCTCTCTCTGGTTTTTACAGTTTATCTTCTTCCTGCAATTTTTTTTTCTATCTTTCATCACCTTTTCTTGAGCAATGCCGGGTTTTTTTATATGATCTGTCAAAGCCACCTCTTGGGATCTGCTGATGGCTTGCTGGTGTCTGCCTTCCTTCATGGCATCTTGGCGTACCTGTTGCACAGCTTGCACCATGGTCTTTATCTTCTTGGTTACATCTCCTTTCAGGATGCTGTCCAACATATCACTCAGATCTGTATCCAGCTGTGCCCATCTGCTATCTTCTGCCAGTGGAAAATCCAGCTCTGGTTTCCTCTCAGAGTCCTCTAGCTTTTTGATTTCACCCACTTCTTATGCTTGAGCAGGTCCAGTGACCTGTGGTTTTCCTTCTGGCCCAATTTCTCTGCCTGGCAAGCAATAAATTCACAGATAGCCCTCAGCCCCTTAAAACAGTATAAAATGTTTTTTTATGTTTCTGTAGTCACTCTTTGCACTTTGCCTTTGGTGAATTTTCACACCATGTTTGTTCTTAAATATTCCATCAAAAATGTGCTTTTTTGTCACAAACACTTATCCTAAAAAATACTACAGACATTGTTTCTACACTGCCTACCTGCTCAACAAAACAGAAACTAGCATAGCCACTGGTTATATGAGAGTAGTTTTAGAAATAAGAGTACATATATCGGAGGACAGCAGTGGACTGTTAACTGGCAGTGATATTCAAGTTTCCTAATATTCCAGATTTTCAGAGTAAAGGTTGCTTATATTGCCACTGACAGCAGAACATTCATGTGATTTGAAAATGAGAATCATTGATACTTTTGTGATGTAATTATCTTCAATTAAAAAGACACTTGAACCAAGATCGGTGTAGATGTAATGCAAAATGTTTGCAAAATGGCTTGAAACTCCTGTTGTTTTATAAGAAAACAAAATAAAAAATATTTGGCATCAATCAGGAAAAGGAACAACCCTGCTAATAAGTGTATTTATTAGTAATGTTGTGCTGTTTAGACAATTTTATAGTAGATTTTCTAGCTAGTGGGTACTGAACAGACCCATGTCTGACTGGTTTCACTCAAATATACATTGTTCTTAATGAATCCACTTGACCAATTGACCACTTTAATGATCAAGGAGACAAGTTTTCTGATTTAAGTGTTAAAATAGTAAATATATAGCCACAATGGTCTCTACCAAATATCCTTAAGACACTGCATCACAGGCTCAAACCACACTATTGTTCTGTTACTTTGTGTCTCAGGTCAAGGTGGATGTAAATAATGGTTAAAACAACAGATACACATATCTGCTTGCTAAATGAGGGTTCCAAGGCACCGAGATGGTGAACAGAGATATACGATAGACTCACCCCCTTTAATCACTGCGCTATTGTCTGGAAAGGGTAAAGGTGTGATAAGAGTAGGTATGAGCTGATTAAATATGCATGCAAAAATAAGGTCACAGATCCTAGTATAACATTTAATAGACAGCAGATGTTAGGGAAAATGCATTTTCAATGTCACATTTAATATTATAGAGTAAGATGATGACTTTATTGCATCTTTGAAATGATCTAGCCTGTAGTGAGAACAAAGAACAATCATCCAGTTTTCCTGTCCTCTTTGTCCTATTCTGTATGTTGTTTTGCCTTCGCGGTTATCAATTGCTTGGATATTCGTTCTTTTTGCAGGTATTATGTGTTCAACATCAGGATTTAGATATTTGTTAATATTCATTGCTGATTAACACTAAAACTCTAAAGCCCAAAAATAACATTCAGGAAGACTCTGCTATATTCTAATTCATTACTCATGCTAAAATAACTTTCTTTGGAATAACACAGTATATTATACAGTTGTTTTTTTACACTTTTCACAGGCCATGGAGTGCAGCTCAGCAGCAATACTCTTATACACATCCAATCAGTAAGCCGGTTTAAACTGCTCACAGTTGCTGCTACCTCTGCAAGCCGCTTTGCCACCCACCTCCAATTTGGCGCCTCCTTTTCATCCTACATCTAACAGGGTCGCCACGATACTAGAGTTTCAAACTTGAGACACGATATCCAGAAAAACACTTCATAGTCAATACAGTTTTCTATAACATGGGGGGAAAATTGACAAGCTTATTTTTTAAAATATATTAGAACAATACGAGAAATAACCATCATTTTTGAGTTATCTGACATAATGCAAACACTATGTTACTGTATTTTAAGATGAATTTTACGAGTCTTTTATGTAGTGCATTTAAAAAAAAAAAAAAACAAGTCACGTTTTTCCTATCAAATTGTGTTATCCTGTTAAATTAAGTATTAGTGTTACATACAGGCAGGACTGATAGCGTTTGCTACCTAGCTCCCATATTAGTGTTATCCTTTTATTATTAGCCGCTAGTCACTGCCTAAAGTGAGGTAATTGCTGACCGTTAAATGGCTAATGTTAACATGTGTGCCTGCCTGGTTAACATTTGTGATAAGTGTTTATTAGTTCAGTGTTGGAGCTTTACTGACCTCTTGAAATTCCTCCTAAAGTGCTGCTTATTGTTGAGGACTTTAGGTATTTCAGCTGTAACTGAGAGGAGGGGCTGTGTGCAGCAGTGTTGTGAAACTGTGCCTTAACTGTTGGCATTAATAATGTTGCAAATGATTATCTAATTCAATATTTTATTTTTGGGTAGCGCAGGGGTCGGCAACCTGCGGCTCTGGAGCCGCATGCGGCTCTTTTGTCCTTATACTGCGGCTCCGGGTGGTTTGGGAAAATAAATTAGAAGTATTTAGCTGAAGTGTATTTTATTTGTGTTTAGTTCTTTTTTTAACTTGTAGTTCTAAATTGGAAGATTATTGTGATATTGAAATATAAAAATAAAATTATATCTTATTATTTTTTCATCGCTCAAAATAAGCGTCACACTCGTGGTAGCTGGTGTACCCGCTGAAACGGCGTGCATTTATCGAGACTTTCAACCCCAGGTAGGCCAGTTATGGATCTTCGGATCCACATTATGTCGGCAGCTGTTCTCCACCGTGAATTTTGTTGAAAACAAATACCGCTCACGCTTCACAGATGACAGCTTACAGTCCTGCGTAAAGATGAAAGCCCCGATTTGCAGACGCTGTGCGCAGGGGTTCGGGACCATAAGTCTTATTGTAAACATATCACGACACACCCGACGATGTTTCCATGAACACGCTTTTCAGCATCTCTTTATTGACCACTTTTCACACACGGTTGTTGTACGCATACAGCCGGCTGTAGCTTTGCAGCTCACAGCCCGACAACACCACAGCATAGAGAGCACAGACTTTAAGGCAGCGAGGCGTGATTGCGGGTGCCGCTCAGGTGTGTCCGACTCCCCTGCAGCGGCGCTGCAGACCACGCCCCACCACACACATTAACCTGGTAAAATACATATTTAGGCAGAATTTTGCAAATATCGATTTTTTTTTAGCAGCATAGTGCTTTTTTTCCAATTACTTTTAAAAAGTCAGGTCAAGGCTCCAAAAGTCCAAAGGCGATATAAGGGTGGCGGCTCACAACAGTTTTTGTTTACATGGATCATTTTAGTTCAGCTGGGTGTCTGTCCTTTTGTTGTTGTTTCCTTGTTATTTCTTTAAGAGTTCAAAATGTGTTATTTACATAAATAAAATGTAATTTTCTCTGTAGCACTTCATGGATTTCATAAGCAACACACCTTAGTTGCTCTGTGGATTCTTTTAAAAAGCGGTTAAAAACATTTCTGTTCAAACAAGCCTTTTGTTGATCTACGTATTTTATATTCTTTACATTATTTACATTTGATCTTTTACATTGTGTATAATGTCTATTGATTGTATTGTTTATTTTAATATTTGTGTACAGCGCTTTGTGACTGCCTGTCTGTTAAAAGCGCTTAATAAATAAACTTTACTTACTTGCTTTAGTTGTTCACACAAAGCATAAAGGTAAAAAAAAAAACCAATATATACTGTGTTATCTTCATTTTAGATTTAAAAAAATATTTGCGGCTCCCAGTGTTTTCTTTTGCGTGGAAACCGGGTCCAAGTGGCTCTTTGGGTGTAAAAGGACCCCTGGGGTAGCGGATAGTACTTTTTAATTTCACGTTAAGTTATTATCTAACTTAACGTGATATTTATCATTTTTTTTTGCCTGCTCTGTTTTGTGGTGGGGTTTTACTGCTGATCTCACCACACCAGCCCTTACAAGGTAAGCTCCATCCACCCTACCACTAAATATAAATTACTGCAGTCAGAGAATAAAAAGATTTTCAGTATTGTGGCCCTGACTGAAGCAGCATCTATTTCAGTTATAATTAAAAAAAACCCAAAAAAACAATGTTCTACAGCAGAAGAAAGCAAAAAAGGTAAGAAAAAGGAAGATAAGAGGATTAAATGGATAAAATTCATGAAATATATTTGTAGTTATTATAAACAATGACTTTTTTAAACTGACATGTGATGCAGATTAAAAACAAACAATAGATTGATACAGATAAAGAAGAAAATGTGTTAAAATTGAGTCGGTTCGGATTCGGATAACAAAATACATTTCCAAAAAAGAAAAGACCTGTCATGTGGCTGCCTTTATTTCATGGCGCATTATAGTGACTGTTCTATTTAATAACTAAAGACTTTTTGTGTGGGGGTCAATAAAACCTCTGTGGCTGCGCTGAAAAGCAAGCATTTTTCACCCCAAATACCTTCAGTTTATTGTGAAAAAACAGCTCCATCAAGACAACAAGCACAGCCATTAATCCAGATCTTAAATGTAAAGAGCAAGTACAAACAAAGATGGTGGATGCCAAAATGTCACCTACATGATCTTGACACGCAAACACAGTACTTGTTAATTAACACCAAAAGCAAGGGCACTTTTTGTTTTTTCATTAATGAGAAACCAGACAGCTCTTAATGAGGGAGGCTTTATCGATGCCCGCACACTTTGCTGCACATGCGTTTATCTTCTTTGCACACATACACACGGCGACGCGCACAAGGAGCCACAGAGGAAACTCTACTGCCTCTGTGTTCACAGTCTTCGATTAGAACATGAGTGGAGACATCAAAGCTAACAAATAGACGGAAGAAATATCCAAGATTATCACAGAGTGCTAAAGCAAACTAAGCCACCCACCATCCGCTGCTGCACTCACAACTTTACGGCAGTAACTGAATCATTAAAAACCCTGAGCTAACACCGCTGTGAGCTTGGCTGACGGAAATCGGCAAAATGGAGAGGCACCGTGGAGAAAGACAACATTTAAAGAGGATTATAGAAGAGGTGCTTGAGCGACCAAGCTGGAGATATGGTGCACATGGGTGTTAATAAACGAACACTGTATACGGTAGTCATGGTTTGGAGCCTGCTGAGTGCTCATGAGCTGTATTATACAGATAACGCATTTCATAAATATTCTATAATTGTCTTCTAAATTTAGCTAAGATTTGAATTATCAGGAAGTAAGGTTAAAAAGGCAGCAGAACAGCACCGATGCTCTAGGAACACGTTACTGGAAAGTAAATGGGATCCAGTGCATATGCTTAAGGAAAGGGTGTGACGGACACGTGTCCTTGATGTTGTGTGGCTGTGTGAGGCTTTTGTTACATGCTGTGATTACAAATGGAAAAACATCCTCCTACTAACGCACTCATCCAGATCTCTGATTGGATCTTTGTGTGCCTTGGATTGAAGTCAGCATAAAGAATTCATGTGTGAGCGTGTCTATGTATGGACTGTTTATGCGTTATGTATGAGAAAGGGCTGCCAGAGACAACAGGCCAGTTAAGGAATGATCTGCCTTGACAATCAACGGTCGAGCTCGAGGGGATGGTCTAATTTTTCCTTTTTCTCACACAGTATCAACTAGTTTAGTTTTAAATATGGGAGGAAGCTGTTGCGGTCTTTAGGTTGTTTGTTGGTTGTGTATTGTGTATTTCAGTTTTCTAGTTAATCTCTGAGTTTGGGTTATTGACTTGGTTTCCTTACAGACTGAAAAATGGTAAATGAACTGGTTCTGATATAGCACTTTTCTGCCCAGAAGACTAGCCTACAAATCCCAGATCCCTGTAAAAATAGTTGTGTCTTCCCCTCAGTCTCTGTTGCAGTGTCTGCTAAGCTCCCCTCATGTGTTAACCCCCCGTGATTTCCTGGGCTAATTTTGAATCTCAGCTTCTTGTTTTTGGATTTACTTTGGGCTTTGTTTCTGAGAACTGTGAGTCAGCCAAAATAAAAGACCTGCCTTCTGTTTAATCAGTATGGCTCCACAGCCTGGGTCCTTAATCTCCATGACAAGAAGAAGAAATTAAGGTCCACACAACGAATACGTCTGATTTTTCAGATGCGCTTACCTACTCATGTCCTCCTGAATGTACAGTGCGAGCAGCTGTTTGGGGATACTGAACGACAGAGTGCACTCCTCCATTTGTTCCCGCACAAGCATCCACTTGCTGTCCACTGTTTGAAATCTGTACACTTTGCATACTGGGTTCTTGAACACTGCCAGAGAAAGACAAAGGGATGGTGAGGACAAAGTAAAAAAAAGAAGTTGTTCACCGAACCATCTGACACAGCAGAAAATACATCACATCCCCGTTATATAAATTTTAAAGAGTTTCTCTTTAATTTTGCAAAAGGTAAACAGACTTTTACATCAGCTCTGACAGCTGCCTGCCTCAAGGACGCAACAGAACAGATAGACTTCAAAAGTCTTAAAAAGTCTTGTGAGGTATGAAGCACAAATTAAATTCTATAATCAATAATGGTGTCTGCCGTAGATAAGAAGTTTCTCGTTTTTCAAGGCCTTCCTTCCCTCTCTCTTACTCTCTCTATACTTCAGTTGACAGCACAGCAGAGCAAAACACGTAACCTTGTCCTACTAATCTTTGCCTTATTATTTCCTCCATTTCCATTTTAATTGCTTATTTATTGTGCAACGCTGAGGAACGGTCCATTGAATCATTTTGAAAGTTTCCTTACGAACCCCAGTGCCCAGCTCTTCCATTAAAACCGATTCACGTTGAGTCCCATCTTCATTTTTTTTCTTGCAGAGAGTGGCTAATAGCAGCAATTGAAGGCTGGAAACGAAAAACAGCTCTAATGCTCTTATCTGCATGCTAGCAGCAGAGGGCAAGAAAGCTGTGAGCCTTAAACTGTGTGTAGTACTCCTTTCTGTTTGCAGAGCTGAAACACTCAGAGTGAAACCTTGAAAATCTTGCAATGGGTAGTCAAACATGCATAGCAGGAAAAAAATATATAAATATTTTTTTTGCCTTAATTCATAAATGGAAGCCATACTCATGCTCCTACTGGCAGTGCAGAAAACAGTCCCCATACGAAGCCCTTATATGGCACTATAACACAGTTTGGAAGTAAACTGTTGTTTTTTTTTTTTTCAAGGTCGTCTGTCTGAGTCCTCGTTTTGAAACCTAGTGTCCGAGCCATTAATCCTCACGCTGCTACGTCATTTGTCCTCAAGTGTTAAAGTTCATCGATGCCCTTCAGATGGGTTCCAGAAGGCACACGACAGTGGGAGTTCTTATGTGGTAAGAGTTTTAATTTAGGATGCAATGTGATGCAATGTGCTGCTTGACTGACTTAAGCAGCAGCTTTATATGTGGTTTAATAAAAGATAGTTTCTTAGTAACTGGGTAATCTTTACAAATCGAAACAAAACAACTGTAATAAAAAAATGTTAAAAAGTATTCCAACAATTCCCATCTTTGCCACCAGCCAACAGTATTTCATGCTAGTCTGACTGGATTTGATTGTTTGGTTAACGTCATCATTTCGGGACCAAATCCAACAATAAATTAGTTTAGATAATCGTTTTTTTGCTGTAGACTTCCTTTGGTGTTATAAAACCATGAACAAACATTCTTCCTTACCATCTGATACCATCCCCACACTGTTTTGGTACTTTAAATAGATATTACAAATGCATATACAACTCCATAGCTTTTAATTATTCTTAACAAATCCATGGTTGATGCCCGCTCTCCAACAAAGTGTACTACCACTCAGGAATTTAAACATGATAATAAAGAGGAACAAATGATCAGGGTACAGAACAGAAGTTCCATCCTTGTTGGGGGTTGTCTTTGTGGGGTTTACATATGGTCCATGTGCTGGATGCTTTTTATATCATATCTAGATGATGAGAATAGCAAAGAATATACTGAAATCAAATAGAGAAAACTACGATACAGTAACCACAGCAAGCACAGCAAGAAATGCAGCAAAAGATTTTCTAAAGCTCTGCACGAAAGGCATTTCTATTAGTGTTTATCTTGTGACTTTTTACTGACTTCACTGCATAGCAGTAGACAGGCTACTACACTATAAAAACTCCACACAGACAGCAAGAGATTCTCTTAAGGACAATAACGATAAGTCAGACAGACTGCAGACGGGTAATTAATATTATTTTTCTACGGCGCTTAAGATGTTGAAATTAATGACAATTTAATTATGACTAGCCTGAACAACTCTTGAGAGGGTTCATAATTGCATCTAAATGAAATGTGAAAATCAAAAATCGTTGGCACGGGGATTCGAAAAACTTTAATGGGTTGACAAAAATAAATGAGGAGATACATGGAGAGAAAGGGGTGAGGGCACAGCCTTAATCGGACGAGCAACAGTTTGCTGACTTCCACCTCCATCAGAGAAGCGGATTAACCCCCGGACTCTCCCCTGCCGCTACACTAATCTGCCCACCAATCAGACGCCTCCGTTTCCCTTCCTGACACCTCTTAAGAAAATGACTTGCCGAGAATTGCTGCGCGTGGGCTCTGCTATCTCCCCGTTCTCTGCATGCTCATTTTGAAAGGTAATAAAAGTGGAAGACTAAATTGCGTTACTCAATCTGGCTGTATCTGCGGGGAGGGTATTGTTTTGACAGGCTGCAGATGTGCACCTGCAAACATGGCTGCAGTTCACTAGTTAATCACAGTAGAAACAGTAAGCAGCAATGACACTATGACAACAGGCGTGCGGCTGCTGGGGAGCTCGGGGAGGCTAAGGGGATCCAGGTACAGGAGAAAATGGATGTGTGGAACAAATGGATGTGTGTCTCCTAAGTTTCCTTTGAAAAAGGGGCTGTGAAGTTTTAACACAGCAGGAGTTGTGACCTTTTCAAGTCACACGCTTTTCTGTCTACATGTCTTTCATTTTCTCTCTGCAATGCTCTCTTTCCTAACCAGTGAGTGAGCTGACTTTCTGTGTTACCACTAAATTAGTCTCATGCAGCTCATATGACATCTTCTGATCATCTTTAGTTAGTCTACAAAGAACTGAGCAGGCTAACATTGTCAGACACCTCTCACTAGTCTCTGTCTGTCTAAAAACACTTTGGCGCATAGTAAATGAAAGCAGGGAAGATAAAATTCTTTAATCAAGAAAAAGGACACAGCATAGACTTCAAATGTTATTCATAGAGTGGTTACTCAAGGTTAAACAGATGCAGAGCATTAACAGACTTTTAGATGAAGACGTTACATGATGTTAACTACTATAATGTATTAAATGCATTATAATAGAGTCTTTCAGCCTTTCATTCAAGGCCATTATAGAGTTCTTTCAAGAAGGGGGAAATTAGAGGCATTTTTATTGCAACATTATCCAGCAATAAGTGGTGAAATTACAGGTGCTCAGGGTGTGACTCATACCTGGCCCGGTCAATGGGTTATTTTCTCTGTCGGTGCAAGAATGGTGCGCAGACTCACATACCAGTGGACACTGGAAAGAACAGAAGAAAAGACAAGATGAGAACTGGCAAACATGAGCATGAACAGTAAAGCATTTCTCTGATGTGCCTTCAGGCTTTGATCACAAACTGTCGCCTGTGACGGCAACCACATTTAAGTGCAGCCTGACACTGAGACTTGATGTGACATATACTCTAATTTGGTGGCAGCTCGGGTTTGAAAATCCTAATTTAGCTTTGACACACTGAGAGGTACTTTAGCGCCAAAGCTGTAGCCAGCAGGTAAAATTCCGGTAGTTTGATCCGTGTTCTGCTTGAGAACCATAAAGCTGCTCACATAAGCATAATTACATTAAAAAACCCATATCTATCTATCTATACAGCTATACATCTATACATATATACGGTTTCTTCAGCTGGTATATTTCAAACTTTCAAAATTTCAAACTATCAACTGACATACAGTAAATTACCTGGTTTTACTTAGCAGAGATGGGAGACCACACAGCTTTAATCTCTCAATTACAGTGTCCTACTAGGCAACAGATCCAATATCTTTTAATGTGGTTATTTCATTGCTTAATCATTACAACAGTAACCAACAAGAGACGAAAAATCCACTATCATAAAACTTGCAGTATACTGTGTTGCATACTGAATTAGTTTAGGTGCAATTTTCCAAAATGAAATTTCTCAAGCAAGCAAAAGACTTTGGAAGAAATTCATTCAATTTAATTTTCATTTCAGCTTTATTCATGTAGTGCCAAATCACAACAATAATCATCTCAAGGTGCTTTATATTGTGAAGTAAAGATCTACACTGATAGAAAGAAAACCCCAACAATCAGACGTCCCGCCTATGAACAACCGCTTGGTGACCGTGGGAGTAAAAAACATTTTAGCAGGAAGAAACATTGGACAGAACCAGGGTCAGCGAAAGGATAGATGTGACGAGCTGGGTGTGAGAGGGAAAAATATGGACAATCTGAAAATATAAAGCATGTGGAAGTGCCATAAACCTGCAGCTGTCTCTAAAGGCCAACAGAGGGCGACTCTGTTTCTGGCTGAGTGTTAAATATTTTCTGTTTTTTTCCTTTTAAAAACAAAATCTTGATAACTTATCTAAGGCTATGTCCACACGTACCCGGGTATTTTTGAAAACTGAGATTTTTCTATGCGTTTGCACCTTTCGTCCACACGTAAACGGCGTTTTCGGTCACTGAAAACTGAGATTTTTAAAAACGCCTGCCAGGGTGGATATTTTCTAAAACTCCGTTTTTGCATTTACGTGTGGACGAGGAAAACTGAGTCAAATGTGTGTGCCATTTTTGACGTCACACTGTGCGCCACGTTATTGTTTCGGAGAAATGAATTTCTGCAATACTGTTACTGTTAATTTTACTCTCTGCAGATGCTTACATATACACACACAGTTACTATCCCTCCACACATAGGAGGAGTTCTGCTTCTATGCCCCATCTTTGTTTACTATTTCCCGCCGAGGCTTCTAGACTTCTGATTGGCCAACATTTCTACACGGTTAGGAATATATCGCCACCTGTTGCTTTGGCATGTTCCTAGCAGCGTTTTCCTTCATTTTTGCGTTTACGTGTGGACGGGATTATTTTTTAAAACGAAAACGGAAAATCTCAGTTTTCAAAAATACCCGTGTACGTGTGGATGTAGCCTAAGTTACACACATTAATTAAAAATTTGTGTGATTTGTGGAAAAGTGGGTGTTCCCACTGTTACAACCTGGCTCAGAAGCTGCAACATAAAGTGGAGACTGACATCAGAATTAGTAGAAACACTGGTTTTATTTCACTGGTTGAAAATGACAGCCCAGAAAGCATTATGGTAAGAAGTAGGATCTCCCCCAAGCCAAACTGAGGCCTTTATCTACACCTTTTCAGATGTAGACAATTAACAGTTAAGCCTCAGTAACACCCAGAGACTGCAGTGCTGCTACTGCAAGGTAAGAAGGCCAACTTTGACCTTGCACAATAACAGTGAAGGTCAAGGTCAAATGCTTAGCCAATCTAGATACTCAAGTCCCCCAAGGGCTGGTATATTGTGGTGAAGTTTGAAGACAATCCATAAAACACTTTGGGTAATATCAAGTTTTTACAGATTTTCACACTGGGTGATGTTGACCTTGACCTGACTCTCACCAAAGTTACACCTGTTCAAGCTGTAATTGGTATCTACCATCACACAAAATTTTAAAATGATCTCTTGAAAACTGTGGACGCTAGACTGCTAACAAACAGACAAACAAATGGAACGGAGTATGTACTCGTTACCTTTAGAGAAAAGATAAAATTGTAATGTAGTTATTATTAAATTCATATGTGCAATAGCCCCACACTCACCATTTCCTCTTTAGACACTCTGCAACTTTGCACCAATTTAACTCCATTATTTAATTTGAAGAAAATGTCAAAATGCAACAGCACAAACCGCTGTCAGTCTAAAGAAAGAATTAATAAATATTCTACTAAAGTAAATTCCTTTCCTGTAGGTCCTCATCTTTAGTCTGTCACCCTCTTTTACCCAAATCTCTGTACAGGAAGACATCCTGTTCCATTTACAGAGACCAACAGCAGAAATTTGGAGTTAAATGACTTTCAGTTTAATGACTTTCTGTTGGCCCATTACAGCTGCTCCTCCATCACTTGAAGAGGCAACAAACTGTGCATGTACTATTTCTAACAGTTTCGAACAGCAGGATGTCGCAAACCGCAGGTCCGATGCATAACAGCAATTCAACAAGGTGAACTAAGAAGCTACAAATCTCTTGTAGGGAAAAATCTGACAGACACTAAACAGGTACATTTCTAGTAGGGGTGGGCGATATAAACAATATATGATAGAAACGACATAAATTTGGCCAACGATAGAGATTTTGACTATACCGCTCTATCGCGATAGCGCATGTTGATGATGTCATCAAGCTGCGCCTGTTTTGGTCGAAAGCATCGCAGCTGCTACAACCATTATCATCTGCAAATTATGCCGGGCGACAGTCATAGCAAAGAGATGAAGCACTTTTGAAATATGGGAAAAGCCAAAAACTGCGCTTCCTCCACTTCCGTAACAATGATTCATTAATGTTGAATTCCCTCGCAGCTGTTCTATTCCCATGTTGTTGCAGTATATTAATAACTAACCTTGTATTGTGGATGAATAATCTCAGTTGTTCTCCTGACTGAAGTTTGCCCCGTGTATAGCATCGTGCTATGCAATTGCATTTGTCCCTAACCACCAGAATCCCTCACGTTAACCTTTATCAAGTGGAAAAAAAGTTGGCGTTCATCCTCCAGATTCACTGTGTTAATGTTATGCTAACATAGCTGTGTCGCTAGCAATCACGTAGCACAACATTATATACCAGGTAGTCCAACTTCAGTAACCCTGCAAACGCCACTGCTGTTTAGTTTTCTGTCTTCATTTATGTTGGAAGTGGTAGCAGAGCTATACGTTTTAATTAGTTTCAAAAATCTCTCAGTCAGAACATGGTATGTCATGTTTAGGTGGAAACTAGCGAGCTAACTTCCTGTTAACTTCTAACTCCGTTAAATTTAATAAATTCTGTTTTCATGGATGCATGGATGTTAAACTTAATTGTTACACCTGCTAAAGCAGCAACGCTGATGATTTTATTAAAGATGAAAGAATTTAGACCGTTTTTAACTCTCAGTGTTCGTTTGACTTTGGGAGCTGAAGCCGACGGAGTTTTGGACTCAGATTACTCGGCGAAGCTCCTCACTACGGCAGCCATAATGCTCTGACAATACATCAAAATGTGATGGTGTTCTTTGTTGTTGCAACCTTTTTTTTTCCTTTTTCCAAGTGTTATTGGTAAAACGGCGTTGCCGGCTCTTTATGTTAAGATTATCTATAATAAAGAATTTTATTTACTAAAAACACCTGTCTGTAATCCTTTCATTCTGTTCTGGACTCATTTGTTTGTTAGGTGTTTGTGTGTTGTGTGAGGGTCATTTGACTAGCAGTTGCTCTCCCCGGCTAGCACAGGGGAGTGTCTAGCTGAGCGTTTGCTCTTCCTTCCGACACTCGTTTTTTGTTTTGCCTTTATTATTTTCGGAGCAAACCCGGGTGGGGATTAATTCTATGTTGGGGGTAGGCTTTTCGGTGCCTTTGGCACTTGATGATTTGCCTTTAAAGTGGCCTCGAGCCTGGTACACTCCAGAAGCTAGGTCAGGCTAAATTCTGAGTAGACAGGACTGGGGGGAGTGTGGGTAGAATTTTAGTTAATGGTTGACTTGACACAACACATTTTCTTTCGCCTCTTTTTGGTTGTGTAGTGAAGGTGTTGTGTGACCATTGAGTGGTTAGCTTGTGTTTTGCGGGCCATTTTGAGTTTCATGGCCACTTTTGATGTTGCTGGATTTATGGAAAAGCCGTCGCTTGCCCTGCTGGATGTTTGTAGGAAGAGGGATCTGCATCAGGTGGCAACATATTACGGGATCAGTGTCTCCACTGGTCTACGCAAAAAAATCGGTTTGAGGTCAGTAAGCACAACCAGAATTCATACATAAGGCACACTCGATTTTTGAGAAAATTAAAGGATTTTAAGTGTGCCTTATAGTGTGGAAAATACGTTATACAGAAGAAAAGAATATATTGCGATATATATTGTTACCGCATGTGCTTCAAATTATATCGCAATATGGATTTTAGGCCATATTGCCCAGCCCTAATTTCTAGGACATTTTGTGTTTCCTGTAAAATGTGATGGTCTGACTCCTTTTCATTTCTCATTTAGTTGGTGGTAGTTTTCACACTGAAGCAGTGGTGTTGTAATGGTGAGGTAATGAAGGTGAAAGGGAATGGAATAAGGACACCCCCCACCTCCCCCAGTATATTAATTGATTAAAAAATAAAAATTTGACTATCATTGACCTTGTAAGGTAATTACAGGATTGCATGATTTTAGTGCTAGACAAAAGTTATGTTTTAGCTAATATAAAACAAAGACGATACATTAGCTGCAACTCTGACTTTTGTGTTGGGTGAAATAACACTGAGTTAGGGTTAGAGCTTCTGCACTGGACTATTGTGGCCAACAGTTATTAAACCAGACGTTCTGAGTACCAAAGTCTACAGTGTAGTGGCACATCATTAACTTATTTCTTACATTTTTTATTCTTGAGGTTTTGGTCCTGAAAAGGTTGAAAGAAACTGATACAAACCCGGGGGCTTTAATGTAGCAGACCGCTACATTAAAATGTATAAAATAGTCAAATTCACACATAAAGGGGGTGAAGCTGTACTCTTAACTTTACACTCTGCTTTTCATGAAAACACACATGCACACCAGTTAAAATGATGTTTTTTTGAATTATGCCTGGGTTTCTTCATCAAAGCAACGTGAACCACTGACAACTAGCAATCTTTCATGCTCGCTGTATCCCAGCTCTGGCCTGTCTGATGAACCATCTAACACAGCCAGACAGCCAAATCTGTCCCCAGAAAAGGACTTTAATGACTGCTAGGGACGATCCATCACCTCTCTTAGCTCAGAAACTGATCCTGAATAAAACAGACATCAACCAACAGCAGCCACACAGAGTCACACACACTAACTCCAGAGTAAACTGTGTCCATTGGACAGAATGGGCAGATTTTACTGGGTAAGTTTCTCGTCTAATGATAAGTATTAACAATAAGCTAAGGGCCTCAGCTGCGAAAGGAGTCCCATTGTAACTGTAACTGTAGGCAGCATCTGTTAGATGGCTCTTTGAAGACTAAAATATGTAAAGAGATCAGATCAAAGGTGACTGGAGTGTCTTTTTTGCTTCAGCTGATTATTTTTGCAGGGTCAGTGGGATATTCATGAGCAGCGACCACCTAAGCGATGACACGGACTGATCAAACAGACTTACAAGCATGTGCAAATATGTAAATTAGGCAGACATGACTAAGGTACCTTGAACAAGGAGGGAACAAGAGAACTTCCCTACAAGAGAGTCCTGAGTCTAAAGTGAGCCTTCCCCTGGATTTGTCATAGCCCTTCCTTCTTTCCTTCCTTCATCTTCAACAACAGCAACGATACAAGGAAATATGCTGTGACAAGACAAATGCGCACACACACACGCACACGCATAGGGCAACACATTCATCAAGGCGACATGGGCAGATTTTCAGTGACACGCTGGAGCCTAGCAGGGAACCTCCCTGCACCATTAACAGGGGTGGGCAGAACAGAAAGCCAGTCAGCCATGTAGAGGCCCTCGGTCAATTATATAAGACATGAATCACACGCATACACAAACACAACGTACAAAAAAAAAAAAAAAAACACACAATTATCCACACAATCAGGAAATCAACAGCAGGCCTCTGTGCTGCTTTACAAAGCTGTTCCTATTTACGGATGAGAAATATCCCAAGAGCTTTGTTTTTTGTTTTTTTTAACTGATTTCCCTGAGATCTACAGCATGAATTCACCTGACAAATCACAGCTTCTTAGGAATGTGCAAATAAATGCAGAAATCAAATCAGGAGCGCATATGCACAACTCAAAAACTCAGACTCTGAAGGACAATACTCCTTCCTCTTTTAACTTCCTGATGATGACGTTGTGTGATCTCAGAGCCCAGTTAAGAGCAGAGAAGACTGCATAACGGTTTGACACAAATAGATTTGTGAGTGTATGTGTGTCAATATCATTCTTTTAAAACCCTTTCGGTATCAACATATAGGCATTCAGACATTAAACGTACTCACATCCTGTAAATCCCTATTAGGTTTTACTGAAGTTTATTTAATCTCATTGGAGGACTTGTGCAGTGCCTGTCTAATCCTAGTATTAGCACGAGGCGTCTGGCACATGGAGACTCCCGCTCCTGCTTCGTCTAGTCAGCCCGCTAACCTTACCTTCTGTGATGGTATGTCTGTGGTGATCTGGTCCACATCAACCTCCTCCATCTCCCCCATCTTCAGACGACTCACCACCACTGTTCCTGCTGTGCACACACCATCAGATGACCTAAAGCAAGACATGAAGAGAGAGAGAGAGAGAGAGAGAGAGAGAAAAAAAAGATACATTCACTTTTGGCCTCTTCATTCAAGCTGTTAAATAAAAGTCTCATCTGTTAAGTGATATTTTCCTCTAGCTACTGCCCCTCTACGGGCCTCAGAAATATTCATTTTCATGTCAGGCCCCCCCTGACTCGGCAAACCTAATAAGCTTATTTCCAGCCTTGCACAGGTTGTGAAATTATAAAGCTTTGAGTAAAAAGTGGAATCAGGACATGGACGCTTGCACTGCGGCGATTCCTTTTCCTGACAGATTTTGCCCAGGAGTTTTGCATGCAGAATAAAATCCCAGCGCGCTTCAGCGGGAAGCTGATGGGGGTGAAGGAAAGAACGTTTCATCTAACTGTTCAAATAGTGGTTTATTAAACCAGGCTATGTGCCCCGACAGATATGAAAATTGATACTAGAGTTTTCATATCGGAGAGACCTGACTAATCACTTTCCCAATCATGGGGCCATGATTAAGGAGCTGATAGAAAATCTATAGTATTGGCAGCAAGACAGACGCTCTCAAATGAAGAAAAATGGTCCCGGGGTATAGCGGGAGCGAGTCTGATCACCTTAACAGACCCATCCCTAATGTGCTCAGTTCCACTCCAGCTGGAGAAAATATTGGATGTTGTGCATCAGCCACTGGTCTGGGGAGACAGGAGGATGGATGACACACCCCTGCCCGAGGAGAAGAAAATGCAAGGATGGTGATGGAAGCAAAAAGGATGCTTTTGAGGCCAATCGATCTTGGGCAGACACAAAAGGAGAAAATCTAAAGGCACCCGTGAGAAAAGGTAAGAAAGGAGATGCGCGAAGCAATGTGAGTGAAAACTGGAGAAGAGGACGGGGAGCGAGAGATTGGAGAGCGAATGGAAAGTGTCTGCGGAGTGGGACCCTGGGAGCTTCAGTTAGCACTTAATGTCTTACAGAAGTCTCCAAGCAGAGAAAATAACATTGGCCGGTTTATAAATCTAATCATTGTCCCTTGCCAGACACCTGTCTCAGTGTTTACTCCTCTGCTCATCTTCTTGTTTCTTCCCCATTTCTTAGCGTGCCCCCTCCCATTCCTGCGCAACAGAAGACCCAAGCACGGGAAAAGAAAGTCACCCTGACTTTGAACAAACGTTATGTGCTGAGAGCGGCCCACACATAATCGAGGAAATGGAGATTAACACGCATCGCGTTCTGTGATAGTCCTCCCAAGGCAAACCTTAGGGGTTACAGTGGTCCCCTACTCTTTAGATTACTGCGCCGCAATCCACTAATGAAACTCCCCATTTAGGTGGACAAGAGACTCAGAATTGCTTTAAAGTAATTAACTTACAGTATGCCTTTGAGAGATATATTAGGATTTTTTTTTTTGTTTTGATTTGCAGCCAAACATAAACTCAGCACCTACTCAAATACAATTTTCTTTTATATTACTGCTGTCTGTGAGGAAAAGGACTCTTCTACAGCCTATTTAAAAGGGCTGGGATGATTCGATTTAGCTCAATCACTGCACAGCCAATTCTTTGTTCCATTAAAAAACAAGCGCGGAAGAGGTTAGAGACTTCTGACAGGATGCCTGGTCTTCAGAGGCACCCCTTTATTTTAACTAAAGCCATTTAGCACAAGCATGAAGTGACCTCCGATTAACTTAGAAGGTTTTGATGAGCGCTGTTGTTGAAAAAGAAGACATTGTTGGGAGAAAAAAAAGACCCTTCCCCCTGCACTCCCACATTCCCTCCTCTTCTCCCTCCTCGTCACTTTCCGTCTGTTGGAGCTGGCATGGAAACAAATCTGCAGATTGTTCTTTGCCTGCGAGCCCATCTTTTTCTTTTCTTTTTTTTTATCTAATTGGCCCAGGATCTCTTTTATGACAACACTTAATCAGATGGCTTTGTTCAAGTGACAAAAATAATGTGCTTAAAATGTCTGCTGTGAATCTGGCACAATTTGAGAAATAATTAGTTATCAGGGAAGTGCCTTAAATTTAATAGTTATTTTCTTTTGAAAGGCTTTCTTGTAGTTTACGGATACATTTCCCAGTGTGGGAGCATGCAATGCAATTTGTTTCAAATGGCCAGTTTGCACTAATAAGCTCTAAATGTACGAGCTATATGTCTTAAGTACACACTGTATACACTGCACAGTGCAAACGATAATACTTTCAATTATCTGTACAAGACGGGAGGCTTCGGCTGAGCATCATATCTTAATTTTGCTTCTTGTACAGTTTTTATCTACTAATGACACAATATCTTTTCCACTAATGATGCCCCCCAAAACCTTTTTTTCCTTTTTCTGTTAGGCTGTAGCATTTTAAAGTTAAGCTGCTTCATCAGTCTTAGCTCACTGTGAACTTACAAAAGGTTGTGTACAAATTTTTTAACAGCATATCCATCCAGGGTCGCCGGGAAGCAGAGTACACACAAAGAAACCATCTATTTGCTCCACACAGCCTGTTTGGAAACACCAGTTTTGCAGTTGACATGCTTGTCTTTGTACTGAACATGTAAAAGCCCGACCTGGATTATTATTAACCTTCAGGTGAAAACACAAACTAAACTTCATTTGGCATTGCTCTTCAAAGTATGAAACACATTAACATGACTGCTGATGGTTCACATACCTATTAAAACTCTTTAAAAAAGAGATGTGTGTATTCAGTTAAATGAGCAAAAGGCAACGACTTGAGCAATGTTGCTGACTTGATGTTTCTGTACATAGGATCTGTGACACAACTGTGTTTTCAAACCACCACATTTAGCAACCAAGAAAACTAATTTTCCCACTTTGATTGGATTGAGCAAGTCTATCCAGCCCAGTGGTTTAGCTGGATTTATGGGTGCGTTGCAATGTAGCAGCGACCTCAGTATCATTATGAGTTACATGTTTTCCACAGTAATATTATTACTGTCATTATTTTTCTACTGTTATTGGAAATACTATCATTACTACTGTTATTATTTGCTTCTTTGGTGCTTTGATGATAGATGGCAAAGGTTGCTTTTTTTTGTTTGTTTGGTGAAATGAGCAGTTATACTCTGCTATAATAGGCTTGCACTGCAACGCAGAGCCCGGTGTACAGTCTGGAGACACACTACCTCATTTACACTGATTGTTTTGTCTTTGTCTGTAGATGTGGCATCATAATGTTTTTACTCAACCTGTCATCACTCTGAAAATAAGCGAATGGTCAAAGATCATGAAGTCTACAAGTTTAGATAACTTGGGTTAAATGGATGAACGCAGGCGCAAAATTGACCAAACAAAAATCCTGTTTCCGCTCTCTTGTGGACCAAAAAAAAAAAAAAAAAGGAAAGAGGTTTGTAGAGCAAAGTCAAGAAAAGGACAATAACACTGAATTCAACAGCCCGTGGGTGGGGAAAGTTCATCAAAACACTTCAAAGCAGCAAAGCGTCAGTTTTTGTCAGGCTTTCTCTCTGTGGGATGCCACAAGGAAGGAAACACCTGATAGCCACAGAAAAGAAGCAAAAACACCCATGGCTTTTACTCTTGCAAGTTTTGCTTTAACAGTGAGAAACTAAATTACCCAGCAGAACGCGCAAATAATTATTTGTGTTTTGCCAAAAGAAGACATTTTTAAGAGCTCTTGAGGACACCTTAAAGCTGAATGTTAATGGAAGTGGTCAGAAAAATACAAAAAAGGATCCTACAACAGCAACAAATATGCTACAGCCTTGTTGAGAAGGAGTGGAAGTGTGGATGGGATTCTTGACCTATATAAAGCTGGACCGGTGGCTAAATATAGCCCTGGCTAGTTTTCACTAAGGACAGATGTTAGGACATGAGACAGTAATAATGGAGAATGCCAGCTTTAGAAGTGATAGTTCTAATGCTGGGCTTTTTTTTTTTTTCATTAGGGATAAATGACACAATCATGTGATTCGGAGTAATTGGGCATTTTGTAACTGGGGAACTGACTCAATCAATAAGACTCTACTGCAGGCATTGTTCATAGAGCTGGACAGAATCACCAGGGGACACTTACACTGAGCACACTCTCTCTGGCATGTCTGGACCACTTGAAATTTATTCCCTGAGAAAAAAAAACTGCCCTGGTTTTCACTTGATGAAGGAGACTTTCACCATGCGCAATATATTCAGTCTGAATCAAAAATTAATGTAAAACACCCTCTGTGTCCATTGTAAAAATTCTGTTCTGTGTTAGAATTAAGGATATTTTAAAGGCTCTCGGGCTCAGGATTTTTTTTTAAACTTGAAAGGCAAAGCAGGCAAACATTTATTGAAAACAAGCCGATTAACTGGAATACATCAATGAGATCAAACTGTAAAATTCTGAAATAGAAAACTAATCTGTTTGTCGGATGCAATATATCTGTAGTAAGCAGAACAGGAGCTACGTCAGCGGAAGATTGATACTTGCAGACAATTTGTGAGTTTTAACACATCCTATTTGTTCCAGTTCCATCACACACACACACACACACACACACACACACACACACACACACACACTACTATTCTTGCATGATGAGAACTGTCTTCACACTACATTTACTTTATGTTAGTGCTTAACTGCTGTCAGAAACCATCTGGGATAAGCTATTTTCACAGAAGAAGCAAGGTGGGGAAAAATATCCAGAATGGATGCTATTTCTTCAGCAAGTCACATCAATCCAGACTCCGGCTCACAAGTAGGCACTTAATGACTGTTGTGGGACAATTGCTATACGTTTAACTGAATTTGAAAAACTTTAGCTGCAAGCGATTTGATAGGAAAGCGTTTATCAGAAAAGCACAGGAAACTCAGTGATTAATTCATGGGCCAGTGTGGTATTTAGTAAATATCTACAGCTCTGTTTCTAAAGAAACCTTACAGCAGATCAAATTATGGTCATTTCCATACAGTAAAGGCCTACAGGGACGCTTCAGTGTAAACTAGTTCAACTATTAAGTATACAAAGTACTATTGCCACCAGCCGAGGCATT